AATTTCACGTGGTCCTTCGTAAAAAATTTCACGTCAACGTGGCTTGGAGTAACACGTGCCGTTATAACGCATTGCACGCCGGAAAATCCCTACCTAGGGTTCATAGCGGAAGTATTCAGCGACAGTGTAGTTTCGAGTTTATCGTAGTTAGACGATTCGCTGCTGGAGCTTGAATGTGGAGAGCTCCTTTTATTTCTCTCCCACCCCACACCGTCTGAGGCGGCTAAACCACCCAAACCTATTCCTTTTAAGGGTTTAGCTCTAAACTCATTCCATGGTTTTCTTCTTTACTTGAGGCTCGTTCATGCAGCAAGAGCAGGGCAGGGCAAGGGTAGGAACCGCCAGCTAAACAGGGCCTCGCTCGAGTTTAGGGTTTAGTAGGGTTAGAGGGTTTAGGGTTTAGGGTTTTAGGGTGTTGTTGGGTTTTAGGATTTTAGGGTTTAGGGTTTTAGGATTTATAGGGTTTTAGGTTTTAGGGTTTAGGGTTTTAGGGTTTAGGGTGGTAGGGTTTAGTAGGGTTTAGGGTTTAGAGTTTGGGATGGGCCGTAGGAGGGCCCTAGGTAGGCTCTTAAACATGGTTCTTTCAGGATCCAATATTATGAGGACCTCAGTATTCATAAATATGCTATGGTCATATAACAATAAATCAAGAATTTAGCGGTCTCTTATATTAAATATCGTTAAAACGGCATCATCGTGGACTAACGTTTTGGGTCTAGCCGGAGCGCGGGATTTCGGTTGAATTGGATGTTTGAGGAGGTCCTTGTGCTACTGGTAATGGAGCATTGCCGTGGCCAGCCGCTGGAAAGTAACCATCTGCGTGGAGGTGAGTCTAATGGCTTGGACTTCGCCTTGCCATGCCAATCATCATGGCGCATGGGTTGAGGCTCAGGCTGGGTATGTGCTCAAAACGTGCTGGTGCCCCTCCGGGGTCGGAGAAATCCACATGTTGATGCTAGCTTGGGCATGAGCAGGCCATAGCAGGCCCCTTCCAGCTGTCTCACAGCCTCAACATTGACCTCCACAAATGCCAAAACAAAACAAATCACAGACTAAAGGCTGTCACGCGGTCTTTGCAGCCCTCGTTAGCATCTACGACACGCTTGTAGACCATCTTCTCGTAAGGTGGATCAATCACACAGGGCTTATCTCCTAAATGACCAACCATCCAGCAAGCTCGCAAACTCAACCATGCAAGCAATTATGTCAGGGCTTTCCTGAGCTGAGTGCTCATGATGCTCGCCCAGTTTGGGACTGAAGGATGGTAACGCAAGGTCTTACGAAAAAAGCATTAGGGTTTGCGGTTGAGGTTTCATTGAAGCCGTTGCTGTCCTTGCTAGGGAGAACAAAATGCTGGTGATGGCGATTAGCTTGGAGACAACATGGCAACCGAAAACAGCAAAAACACGGTTACTTAGCTGGTGTGTAGTGGGAAAGACGGCACCTATTCCTGAAAATGTTTGTTCCTATTCTTATCATTGAATTGTTACCACTGATCGTTAGAATAAGTAAATAATGTTTTTTTTACTACACCTGGTGCTTTCTGCAAATCAAAGCTTGGAACCGGACTATGGGCAGCCAATTCACTTTGCTCACACCAATCCTGAACCATCAAATTACGAGGCTCATAAGTCACATTTTGCAAACCATCAACGCTGCACCACTAGTCGTTAAACAAATCGTAATAGTACTAATAAGAGTAATAATAATAATAACAATGACAATATAATCATAATAATACTAATAATAAAACCAATACTGATAACAATGCCAGTAATAGTAATAACACTGCCTCGAGTTTTGTCCCGCCTGTTGCCTCAACGCTCATTGGCATTCTGCGACCAAAAGAGAGCTAAGCTACCTTGATGGCTACGCTATGGCCAGAATGGCCAAGTTCCAAGATGGTCTCATCCAGCAGGAGGCTGGCACGAAGCATCTTAGAACACTCGTGGGGCCGTTGAGACAAGCACACATACACATCTTTACGCACTTACGCGGACCTGGTTAAGAGCAGGATAGCAGGTTCCAAAGCCCCAAACTGAATTGTTAAAGACATGCAAGAAGGTCAACCTGCGTTCCAGCAATTGGCTGGCATCGCGGCTTCCCTGCTGGCGATAGCAAAGAAACATGGCCGCTGAGTGGGTGTTCTCATGCCCTCTGTCTGGGCGGCACTTTGTGCACCTCTGTGCTATATGCTGCACAAGGCTCCTAGGCCTTCCGCGCATCATGTCACTTACAGTGCATCTAGTTTTACGGGCACTCATGCTGGCACGTCACCTGCAACTGCTGATCTTGCGGAGGATGCACAAACTTGTAGCTGGGAGCTTGCAACGGCTGGAAGCTGCTGGACAGGCTTGGCAAGAAATCAACTGGTTCTCCACAAGCCTTTCTGGTGATGCCGCAAACTTGGCCCGGAGTCACGTGCATCTGTATAGCTTCCACCGCAGCATGAAGGCAAGCCTGCGAGGAGGTGCAATTGCACGTGAGGAGAGTTTCTCCACTACGGTCCTCACAATGTACCAGCGACTGGCGCATCATCGCGTGCTGCACGATGAGTCCTTGCTCCTGGCAACCTTTTCTTTTTTTCTGAAAATCTTCCTGAGAGACAGTGAGAACCTTGAGATTCGTTTCAGAGATGTTAAAGAAGGTAACATAGAAGCAGTTATTGATCTTTCGGCACTCCTTGTTAGCCACAAAGAACATCGACGAGCCAGTGTCCAACTGCACCGTCAGCTCCTGGGGCGGTGTGCCCACTTTCACCACGGCGGCAATGGTACCGTCACGGCCAAGCGCTTGACCAGGAGCACCTGTCAAAGTTATGGCGTTCCCTGGAATCTGGCCGAAGTCCTTCTGACAGCCCTCCGCAGGGCCGAGGTCGTAGAGATACGGGCTGCTCAGGTCCGAAGTGTCGAAGAGGAGGTTTTTGCCCCAGAAGAAAGCGGTGCCGAAGACCACCCCTGTACCCCCTGAATACGAGCAGTACCACGAGAGCATGTACAGGTCCGAGCACGGCTGCCACTCGTAGAAGAAGCTGGACTTGGAGACGACAATGTCGGTCCCACTTACGTTGATTGCCAAGTCATGCACATGATCCATTGCACACTTGACCTGAGATCCACTCACGGCCAATTTCCAGGGGGAATCTTTCAAGGTTGTCAAATTCTCGTCGCCCCACAGCTCCTTGCACGAATGGTCGTGGTGGCGAATGCGGTCGTAGACATGATGGAGGATCTTATTGAAGATATCCTCCGGAAGTTGCAGGCCGTGAGTGCCCGAGTCGATGAAACTGCTGTACCCCGAGTTTTCATACCACGTATGTGGACTTTGAGTTCCCACGACCTCCGAGCCGAAGCTGAAAGTCACCGGACCAGTGTCGTTAGAGTCCTCAACGAACACCGCATACAAGTATTCTTCACTGTTGTCCAAGTTGACTAGTGGGAATTTCTTGGCTCCTGCAGGGATCATTTGCTGTGGCGGCTTACCTAAGTACATTTTGCCGCCCGGCTGTTGTGTTATCAAGGCACATGGTGAAAGCGCGCTCCATGTGGGTGGTCTGTGACAGCGCAGTGAGCAAGTCATTGAACTGATCCGGGCCGCAATATGAAACACTTCTGTTGAAACAGCCTGGACGGAGGCCAATGATGCCGGCAGCAGCAGCCACAGTCTCGAACAGATCTCCTTCGTGCTGATTGCTCATCAGAGCCAAGCCAACCTTTGCTGAACCCTCGAAGCCACCCCAGCGAACCGTGTCATTCCCGAGGAAGCCAAGCACCCACATCCATCCATTACCGTAACCCTGCCAGAACAGCTCCGGATCCTACTTCGCAGCGCACTAGCGACA